GTGGACTGGTCCTGGACCTGGACCTGGACCAGGACTGGACCGGACCTGGACCAGGACTGGTCCTCGACCTGGACCTGGACTGTTCCTGGACCTGGACTGGACCTGGACCAGACCAGACCTGGACCACTGAAAGGCTCCAGCTGGTCCACATCCAGGACAAGAATAATGAGCAGGCCAGTTCCTCATTTTACTGCGCTCCTCTGACCCCTGGTGGCTACTAGTGAGACTGCAGGAGCTGATTGTGGAAGAAAAACATTAATTACTTTATTACTTTAATTTATGAGCTCTGACAGCTCCAAAAATTATTAGTGTGATAAAATAATTGTAATACTCTGTTAATTATTACAATTATTATTATTCACGTTAGAAAATGAACATTTATTGGACTGAAAGGAAGGAAATGATATAAATGACATCAACGGGATAGAAGCATAAATAATGTGTACCTATCGTCGTTCCGTCTTCTCCCATAATGCACTTCATAGAAGTGATGATTTGCTCCACCACAGGAGGAGACATGGAGGTGGCGTACACGGCGCTGTGGGAGTGGCAGCGCAGGTAGTCGATGAGCTCCTGCAGCACAAACCAAGCAGCTTTAACTGGACCCAGTCCTGCTCAGACGGGCCAGCACGGCTCCGGTCTCCTGCAGAACCTCACCCTCTTCCCTGCGATGTAACCCCCTGCGGCTCCGAAGCTCTTGGTGAAGGTTCCCATCATGACGTCCACGTCACGCGGGTCGAGGCCGAAGTGATCCACCACGCCTCTCCCCCTGGGGCCCAGGGCGCCGATGCTGTGGGCCTCGTCCAGGTACAGGTAGGCCCGGTAGCGCCTCTTCAGGGCGATCACCTCCGGCAGCCGTACTATGCTGCCCTCCATGCTGCAGGAGCAAACAGGCGGAGACGTCAACCGGCTTCTGGAAGTTTAGAATCGTCCGATCTGATGCAGACAAACAGTCCTGACATAAACACAGACATAAATGTGATGACTTGCATGTTTACTAGATAACTGCAGCAGGGCAACAAAGTTAGATACACCAACAGCTTCACCAGCTCAAACACATGAAAACAACTTTAGTCTGACCAGTCAGTGCAGTTAGGAGTAAAAATGAATAATGAAGTGAAACTGACAAATGGGTTGAATATAAATATAAAGTTTATTATCTGGCTCTGATTCCTCAGGTTATGATGCTATAAAGCTGGTGGGGAGCAGGACCTGCAGCAGACTGGGAGGAGATCTGGGCTTTTCCCCAGCTGCACCTCGGTCACATGAGCAGAACTTTAAATTCTTCTACCAAACTTATTATACACCCGTTTGCCTTCGGAGGACGTTTCCTGATGCTTCACATCTTTGAAGAAGAGCAAAATATAATGGAGCACATTTATGACCAAATGTCATAAATCTGGGCAGCGTCAGGGGCCCAACAGGACTGCACTGTTAGGGGCCCAAGAGGAGGGGAGAGTTAGGGCTCCGACAGGAGGGGAGCATTAGGGGACCAAGAGGAGGGGAGCGTTAGGGCTCCGACAGGAGGGGAGCGCTAGGGGACCAAGAGGAAGGGAGCGTTAGGGGACCAAGAGGAGGGGAGCGCTAGGGGACCAAGAGGAGGGGAGCGTTAGGGGACAAAGAGGAGGGGAGAGCTAGGGGACCAAGAGGAGGGGAGCGTTAGGGCTCCGACAGGAGGGGAGCATTAGGGGCCGGCCTCACCTGTAGATGCCTTCCACCATGATGAGGATCTTCTTCCAGGGCCGGTGGGTCCGGGGCTGGCCGTGAACTATAGCTTCTCTCAGCAGTTTCTCTAGGCTCTGCATGTCTGTCAGACAGAACCGCTCCAAATGAAACAGATCAGCATGAAGGATCAGGCAGACACTAAAACCACTGATGTATGACTGGGACACTGTTGAGGATGGAGAACAAGGCCTGCATCGTCTCTGGGATTTATCACACACATTAAAAACAGACTCAGACCGTCTGATAGATGGTTCTGTTGGACTGTGTCCACCGGCAGACTGAAGCCTTGGCATATCTGAACCTGCAGGAGTATCTGCCTTCCTGTGATCTGACCCACATTCACCAGAACCACAGCCTTCAGGACCAGGATGTCCTCCTGTTTTCGGCACCTAAAGTCTGTGCAGAATTTGGAAAAAAAAGGCCTTAAAATGAGTCAGATGACTGGATCAGATTAATTAGGGTCTGCCCCTTTAAATGCACCCATTCAGCTCCTCTGGTGAGGCTGAAAATATCTGATTATAAATATTTTGTCTGGTTTTAAATCAGAGTTCATGTGTGTGGATGTCAGTTCTGCTAATGCTAAAGCGCTAACTTCAACCATGTTGATATCCATGTTGCCCCCCGCAGGCCCAAGTCTATCATTACACACTGCGAGGTTTGAACTTCAGGGAGTGATTGAGACTCAGATTATTTTCCTGACCTTCTGCTCAGTGAATGCACCACACATGGTAAATGAACTGAATTAATACGGAGCTTTTCTACTTATTCAGACCAATCAAAGCTCAGGCATCCAGTCAAATTTACACACCAATACACAGATCAGCAGGCGACTCCGGGTGAAAACTGCCTTGCCCCAGGGTACAGAACCCTCCAGCTGCTTCACTGTGGAAGAAGACTGACTGAGATCATTTCAGCTGCTGGACGGGGAGAGAGAGCAAGGCTTTCAGCAGGTAACAGGAAGATGCTAAAGGCGGTTTAAATGTGAGCTGTGATCTGTGACTCACTGTTGTGTTTGAAGACCCTGATGGTGGAACCGGACAGTCTGGCTCCCAGGACCAGAGAGGCGTGGTTCAGCTCGTCACTCAGAATCAGGCAGCCCTGCAGAGTTAAAGGACAAGAAGAAGGAGGACGTTCAGGATCCACCGTTCCTGGTTCTCTCTTGTAAACGTGAGAGAATAAAGGAAGAAATGTGGAAGATGAACAGCAGAGTGGCCTCACCTTGCCGGTAAGAGCCGGGATGTTCATGGAGTTGGTGGCGAAGCCCATCCCAAACGCCATGGCCGACTCCACCCCCAGAAACCTGGCCAACAGGTCCTCCATCTCCTCATGGATGTCCAGGTTCCCTGAATCACAAACATTTAAAAGTCCTGAGTGATCAGCTGACCGCTGCAGAGGAGACGCGTCATTTAAAAGTACTAAAAAAATGACAATCATCAAGTTAACTGGAGTCTGGCTGGAAACTGTAATGAAAGAAGGAGAGAAACAAAGAAACAGGAAGGGAAGAAAGGCAGGAAACGTGTCACTGAAAGCTGGAACTAAAAGGTCAAAGGTCGTCCAGGTCTTAGTTTAGAAGCGTCTGCCGCAGCTAGGAGCAGCTTTCTCAGAGGATGCAAAATCTTTGGTCAGACCTGGAGGGTTTTCCCTGCAGCATCGTTAAAAGCGTTTGTACCGATCTCCTGCCGGGTGCTCGCCACTCCAACGCCGTACGCCATGCTGACCTCGGCTGCAGCGTCAGCACAGCGGCCCGTGTTCTCAGCGAAGCCCAGGTAATTATACGAGCCCAAGTTAATGACGGCCTTCACGGTCCGGCCCGTGTATCTGGGAGGAGAACAGAGACACAGAGGGGAGGCGGTGAAGGCAACTGGGCGCAGCACACCTGCATAGCTGGAATCACACCTCAGAACAGGAGAGACCAGGACTGAGGAGGTCAGAGGGCACGAGGGCACCAGGGCGAAGGGAAGGACAACAAGGAGGAAAGGAGCGGAGCTGTGGGATGTTATCAGGCTTCAAGTTTCTCCTCCAGATTTAAAAATGGTCAACATGTCCAAGCTCACTGCTTCACACCGAATGCATCTACAGACCAATCTGGCTTCTTATGTAGCTGTTGGAGAGACGGCTTCTTCCTTCTGATCCGGTCCAGTTGCTTAACTGGATCAAATGCTAATGAGGCGCCGGCTTGTTGCCCCTGTGAACTCTGACCTGATGACAGACCAGCACCAGCAGCCATGAGCTTCCTGCTATGCTAACCAGCCAATGGGCAGGTCTTTGGGTCAGACGGGGCAGATCGCTCGCTGAGCCAAACTGGGTTATCTCAGAGTGATTTACTGAGTCCTTCGCTTTCAGCTGCTTTGCTCTGATGGTGCAACATCTTCACAGCCACAGCAGCTGCTGGTGACTGGAAGCTTACAGCCAAAATTAACAGCAATAATTTGGGTTATTTAGCCTGGAAGGTTATTTTTTTAACTGTTATTAATTTATAAATATCACAACTTCAAACTACTTAATTAGCAAGCTAAATATTTATTTTACAAACTAAATGTTTAGTTTGTAAAATAAATATCCAGTTTGTCGCTCGCCCAGGACCTTCTGGCTTTAAGGCAGCGGTGCGTCCAGAGTTGTCCAGGTCACTGGTCAGAAACATGCTCACTGCAGAACTAAGCCACTCACTCAAAGGTCCAGTTGTAGTCGTGGGACACCCGGTCCACCAGGTCCATCTTGGCTCCTGGAACGCTGCAGACGGGCCTGTTCCAGTTGTCCCTTATCCTCATGTAGAGGTTCCTGGTGTAAAAGTTCTCAAAGTCCTGGTAGAGCGGCACAAAGTCCTGAAGAAGGGAAGGAGACGGAGCAGGAGTTGGAGGATGAGAAGGACTTTCATCCCAAAGCTTCCAGGTCCAGATAAGACCTGGAAGCTGCCAGGTCTTATCTGGACCCTCTGCCTGCAGGAGGTCAACACCAGGAACTGGAGTTTGTCCACTTGGTTCCTAGACGAAATTATGGGGTGATATCATATGCTTTAAGTAACGTTGTGTCAACAGCAGCAGCTTCCTGTCCCCACATACCTTCATACTGAGAAACAATGTCGTTCACTGTGAGACGTTACGCAACAAGCTGAGACATCGTCTACATAAGCTTCCCTGCTGCTACACACGTCTACAGAGGAACTCGTCTGGCGCTGCTGGACGGAGAAATCTTAACTATCAGGTTGAATCAAAATAACTTTAACCCCGACTGCGCAAACTGTCATCCGGACCTGAGAACTGAGGCGGACAGGAGGGTTTCTCCTGCTCCTCCTCACCTTCTGCTCCTCCTTCTCCCTGGCGATGTGGCACCGCTCGATCTTCCAGTGACGCAGGAAGTCCCGCAGGTAGCCGAAGACGGTGAGGATGCCGTAGCCCATGTAGGTGAGGACGGCCACCAGCATGGGCGTCTCTTCAAAAGACTCGAGGAAGGGCCGGTTGTACAAGTCGCCATGATGCGGCGCTGCATGGAGCTGCAGAAACAAAGACAGCATCATCCTCAGCAACTTAAGCAAACATTTGATTAGACTCTATTGTTGATATTCATGTCTCATATTCATTAGATTAATTAGAGCAGATCCTTCATCTCCATCCTCCAGAGTGAAGCCGTGAGTAACGGCCATCATGACCTTTTCCTTATTACTAGATCTCTGTTTCATGGCAAAGAGCCCATTAATAGAGGCTCACTAAATATTCTGCTTTCAGGGCAACAAGGTTTAGTCACTGTGACCCAAAAGGTTATTCAGAACCAGAGTCAGACCACTGCCAAGTTACAGAACCAGCTGACTCAAAGCAATGACCAGATCTTCTGTGTATCTGAAGCCCAAACATGGCTGCAAACCTCTGCTAAACCAGGAGACCTCGCTGGTAGACATTCGCCTACTGAAGCTAGAAACCAGGAGGGATGTTGGACCTGCTCTGTTGGAAAGTCGCCAGTTATGCCTGTGGAGGTGAGAACACGGCTGTCAAGTGAATTAACAAAACAAAAGGTGTAAATCCATCCGCGGCTCTGATTAAACTCATAAAATGTATCAGATATTTCACACAATCGCAGGTGAAGCCAGAAGCTCCTGGTGTGTCTGTTGCTCAGAAATGCAGAGAAATGTGTTGTTTTGTTGATTCACCAAAGTAATCAGTGAATCGTTGACCTGCAGCTCTACTGGACACCTGCCAGGTGAAATCTCTGCACAAAAATGTTTTGTCTCACAATGTTGACAACATTTCTACAATTATCTTCTGAAATTGGTAAAAAAAAAAAAGTAAATTAAAGCCTGACTGTCTGGCCCCAAAGATGACAGATTTTTTTATTTCTGGTTAAATCTGTGGGAACTGAGCTCTGGCTCAGTTTGCACTGGATGTACAGGAAAACCCTGACAGGTGAGGTTTGGCTGCCAGAGGAGGGAGGAGCTGCTGAGGCCGTGAAACGCTCCTCCTGTCGTCTTATTAAAATAAAAACCTGTCTATGCCAACACCGTTTCGTTTCCACTGCCTTCTGGATTCCTCTGCAGCATGTGGCTAGTCATGCCTCTCTGGGTCAAACAGCTGAGGGAGCTGGACGCCCGTCATGTGCATGAACACGGCCGAGGTCCGGTCAGCAGCAACCCCTCTGTGTTCCTGCAGAACATCACTTCCATTTCTAGGGTCTTAAACTTTGGACACAATTTATTTTCAGGCTGAAATTTTCATTGATAGGTTTTAATCTTCTAGAAAAATAACATACAATTTTTGTCTTTTAGTTATATTGGTTTTTGTTTAAATTGTGTTATTAAAACGATAAACGACAAAAAAGCACAAAAACTGAAAATGTTTTTCTTTTAAAACAATGTTGATTTAAAACATTTTGTGTGTTGAATTTAAAGTGGTTTCAGAAAAATTTAATCTGAAGTTTCTCATTTAATGGTTCTACATTTATGTTATAGCTGTCAGATATAAGTAAAAAAAATCAAGTAAAATGATTTTAATATTTTTAATCGAGTATTTCAAACTTTGTACAATTTTCCCAGAGTTTGGAAACCTTGGTCTTAAACTGATTTTTGAAAATGTTTTTTGGACTGAAAAGGAAGAATCCAAACCAGTTTTTGAGGAGCTCCAAACATCCCCAGAGTTTGAAAAATGTATTTAAATGTAATTAAAATAAAACAACATCCACAGACTCATCCTGTGATGGAACATGAGCCAGAAATAAGGATCCCAAACGTAGCAGCAGAAATGCTGTTTTTGGTAACACTTTGTTTGAAGGGGTGTGCATAAGACTGACATGACACTGTCATAAACATGACAGTGTCATGTCAGTGTTTATGACATGTTTATGACAGTGTCATGTCAGTGTTTATGACATGTTTATGACAGTGTCATGTCAGTGTTTATGACATGTTTATGACAGTGTTTATGACAGTGCCTATGACAGTGTCATGTCAGTGTTTATGACATGTTTATGACAGTGTT